CCATTCACTGATATGACCCACTCACTGATAAACCACGTTATCTCGTTTATGTTACTGAATCCAAATCAGGATTTGATAAGTGCATTTTTCTAACTACATTTACATGAATAAACATGACGTATTCCGTTCAGCAGAAGTCAACACTTTTCCTTATCGAGTGCGTTTTACTGTTACGAAATAACGGTGTCCAGTATGAATAGCACCTTCTCTTTTGACTATTAGATGCATGGAGTGCCTGCTACCCTGCTAGAGTCCCAGCGGACAGGAGACGCTCACCCAATTCGGTTCCATCTTTTGATGAAGACCCCTGCATCGATTGAGGTTGTTCAGTACAACATCAGCGCTTCGCGATTGGTCAAACCTTTGCTCCTTGTCAAGACGTTATCTAGACATTGAGTGTCGTGAAATTCATCTCTACCCATTTCAAATCAACAACTTTGAATGCATGCATAATCACCAGCCGGCACTGGGTCAGATCTCGTAGGTCTAGAAGAACTTGCGGGAATAAAGTTTAATCCCACATATTCCTGTCTACACTCTTTGATTTGCAAGCCTTCTGAAGGTCTAACTATCCCCTGTCTAAATCCTAGTATCTTCTTGACCTCAATCTCATATGCATGCGAAACTGTGCAAAATCACTTCATCGACATGCAGTATTGGATCCAAGATTACTCAAGACCGACGATTGTTGAACCTTCAACGCCCTTCAATTCCGGCCTTGACATGCATTCTATCCAGTCATCATGCATCATCGCCTCCGTACTAAGCTTCTGGAATCTACAAACGGTCCTTCTCAACCCTGTCAATAGTTATATGACGTTAGGTGAATCAAAACTTCAGTGATGTCCGTTTGCATCTCACTATTGCTAATCCAAACAAGTTGCGGGCCATCCGAACCCTTGTCTCCTCTCCCCTTCGCAATCGCACAATGTCATAATCCAGAGTGGTCAAGTGCGATTAAACTATAAAAACGATCTGATCATCACTCATCATTCGTTTAAAGGGGTATCTAGTTATTTGAATTCTTCTAAAGGCCCAAGACATGCTTCTTTCTTCGTCGTTACTAGCATTTTTTGCTGCTGTAAATGGAGTCACTTTACCAGATAGTAACCTGAGACACAGAAAGACGGATGATAATACCTTATATCCAAAAGTTAACACCATTGATAAGGCGTTCATTGTTGAATTGGAAAAGGGAGTTAGCCCCTCTATATCTAGACGAGATCTCCACAATGCCTTCCACAAACATGCAGCGTCAATTAGCTACAATGTCCGTCACGAATTCGATTCTACAGCATTTTTAGGCCTTTCCATTTCTGTCATCCAAAGTGACACCAATGCTGAATTGCAACGACAGCTTTCGGAGATCCCTGGAGTAGTGGATGTATGGCCAGTATACCAAGTCCCCCATCCTGGTGTACTTTCAAATTACACGAACGAGGATAGTCCCAATGAAGATTTTCCGTTGTTACAAAAAAGACAATCCACAGTAACTCGAACAGGAGATTTGGCATCAGCTCTCGAGATGGGCGGCGTTGATAAGCTACATGCAAAAGGCATCAAAGGCAAAGGAATCAAAATCGGGATTGTAGACACCGGGGTTGATTATCGCCATCCTGCACTAGGTGGAGGATTTGGAACTGGTTTCAAAATAAGTGGTGGATACTCTTTTGTATACGATAACGGAACCTTGGGGGAAAGTTCAGACCCTTTATCCACGTGTATCACTGGAGGACATGGAACCCACGTATCAGGTGAGCGTGCTCTGCTCTCTTCGCTATTTAATGACGAGCTAATGTCCTTTAGGTATTCTTGGAATGGATCCCATATCTGAAGATGGCTACTTTCCAATCAGTGGCGTCGCTCCTGAGGCGAATCTCTACATGTACCGCACTTTTGATTGCGCAAATTCAGGTGGTAGTGACACTATCATGGCTGGCATGTTGAAAGCACAAAAAGATGGTGTTGATATTATCAGCATGTCCCTTGCGGTTGGAACCGAATTCCCTTCAACCCCAGATCCATTGGCTTCTGTAGTAAATAGCATTACCCAAGCCGGAATTGCTGTGATTTTGGCAGTCGGGAATGAAGGCTCGCTAGGTCAATACGCCACAGAGTTATTCACTGCAGATTACCCTTCCACGGAGCCCGGTGCTATCGCTGTTGGAGCCATTGCAAATAGAGATTTTCCACTTGTCTATCCGGCCGTGGACTCTGCCAATTTCACTCTTGGTTATGCATCTGTTTGGCCAGTCAATCTTACTATTCCCGTATATGTTTATCTTGTGTCCGATGGGTGTGATAGCTCAGCATGGACTAATGCTCTCGATACCGTCAGTCAAAGTGGTCTTTTAAATGCCACAATCTTTGCTTTCGAGGCATTCAAAACGACTTCTTATTGCAATCCGAACTCGATTGCCTCAGATTGGAGTTCAAGTAAGGTAAAACCTGTCTATGTCATGGGCTACAATTCTGACATTGCGAATTCTTATTTACTCGAGTATAACGTCTTCAGTCCTTCATACTTTGGTGCAGTACACTATATCAACCTTAATACCAATGATGGAATTGCTCTCGTCAACAATTATGGTTCGGTTGGAGGTTTTCCTAGATACACTTTGACATTCACGAGAAGCGAATACAAGAGCCCTCCACAACACTCAGGAGGCTTGGTCGATTATTATTCGAATTTCGGCCCAACCTATTTCACTTATGATTTAAAACCACAGATTTCTGCACCTGGCGGACATATCCTCTCGACATATCCTTTAGGCATAAATTCCAATTACGCGATTTTATCTGGGACTTCAATGGCTACTCCCTATGTCGCAGGATGTTTTGCGCTCGTTAAATCCCAATTTCCGACCGCTAGCGTATCTCAAATATTGGATCTGCTTCAAACAACAGCTAAGCCTGTCAGTTGGGTCTGGGATAGTACGATCCTTTCCGCGACTGCACAACAGGGTGCGGGTCTCATCAATGCATATGATGCCATCTTTGCGCAAACCACAATTTCTCCCGGGCAAATCGTTCTTGGAGATGATAGTACACACACTGTCTTTGGTGCTGCAAATATCACCATTGATAATGCATCAGAATCTAGTAAAACCTACACTCTATTTCATATCGGTGCTGGTTACACGGATGGCCAATTGTCCGGACGGAATTACAACCAGATTGCGCTTTACGGAACTGGTATCTTCCCCACCCCTACTGTCACTCTCGCAGGTGGTGAGTCAAGAACCATCGATTTTTCTATCGTCCCCCCCATAGGCATCGTTGCCTCAAATCGTCCCGTCTTCGGTGGTTTCATCAAAGTCAGCTCTTCTGCCGGTGAAACATATACAGTCCCCTACATCGGTCCACCCTACTCAGTATTCAATGCATCATACATCTCGGTCATCCAGGTTGCTGGTTTTAACTCGGCTGGAATACCGGAAAAGGATACTGGGTTCCTCGAGATCAATCCCACCAGACAGTACGGCATAGCTGCTGATATTCCACAACAATATACACTTGCATTCCGATTTGATCTCTTACCCGCCAATACAAATATTACAGCTAACACACACGCATTCAACGCATCTCAAACTTTCCCCTACATTTCTTCTCAATCCACGCCCAGATCGTCGATCTTCGGATATCCATCTTTTGGAACTTACACAAACCGTACGGCGACGGTAGCAAGTGGCCCAATACAGCCAGGTAATTATATCCAGTATTGGACGAGTGCACGGGTCACTGGTGATGATGGAGTGAGCTATAACGTAGGGGATGGTGACTATCGATTTTTCGCAAGCGTGCTGAGATGGGGTGGAAAGGTGGGGAAGATTGAAGATTATGATACGTGGCTGGGACCAATTTTGAGATTTAATGCGAGCTATACAGGTTAATGAATTTGCGTGTTGTAATAGTGCTCATACGCTCTAGTGCGCGGTGTTAGTTACTGATAGTTATTGTTAATTGATGTGGCAGTTCCAGAAGGAACGGAAATTTATCAGAAACAAATAAGATGTTCATCAATTATTTTAACTCATTATAGTAGAAGATTCCACTTACTTATCATTTCGAATTTACATATCATGCAACGAAAAATGAATAGCTATCATTATCTTGATCGTCCCTTTCGGTCGCGTATGTCTTGTCTGTCTCTTGTCCTCTCGCTTCCAGTCAAGTATCCACCGTGAAAGCGTGAAGCGTTTAATGCCGTGGCCTACTTATGAGACTCAACCCAACCAAATCTATTTTTGGGCAATAAGGCTGATCTAGGTCACCGATAATGGACCCATCGCACCCTGTTCTCATATAACTTAATTAGACAGATGGACGTGTGACGAATTAGGATTTGACGGAAAGTTGAGGCCGGCCCCACAAACCTACCTACAAGACCTCAATTGTGTTCTATATATAGTCCATAGGATGGATATTTTCCAGTCTGTACGTATATCTTGGATGAAGGCTTGGTTGATTGAGTCAAAACAATTCTACGAGATTGAATCTGGTCGCAAATTTTGTCAAAAGTGTCGTTATATTGACGTTAGAATGTTACGCTTCTTACGATGTCCAATACTATTGAATCAAGCATATTTCGTGAGAAACTATTGAAATTAATAGTAGGTCCGATGATTTGGGATGAGGTCTTTACGTACCGGCAATGCATTTACTAGATTTTATTGCCATAGAGCGTCAGGAGTTTGATATAAAGATGAATAGGTCGACAGCAGTCTTGGTCAATTCGGACCATAGTTTCATTACGCAAGTTTCGATGAGAAAAATTTCTCATCTAGGCTTTCTGATATAGGCTACGATTTTGCTGTTCTAATATAAAGCATTTCGAAGACTTTATTTAGATACGATTGAAGCAATCTTGTGAGTTCAATGCAATTTGGTCACTTTCTGGAGTATTGGCAGTGATTTGAGCTTGAAGATCTGGGGTATCTACATCTCTTATATACTGACCCTTGAATGTAGGATGCCACTTCATTTATTTACTACCGAAAATGTCTTCGTCTACCTTGAGGCAGCCACCATCTCCACTACACGAACCACCTGTGGATCCTGATGTAAGAAAGGCAGAGATAGAAAATGTCATGAAGACCGTGAGGATGTATGAAAGGATTAGAGTTCCCCTCCATGATAGAAAAAAGAAAGGAGCACACGAAAAAGCAATGAGAGTTTGGGATGGCCATGTGCAAAAAAGTACATGGACAAACCATGGGCATATTGATCGTCGATTCGAGGAAGATTATCTCAGGGCAAAAGTGGGTCTAGACCGACTTGGAAATAATTCAAAAGAATCAGAGACAGTAGGGTTCATTGAGCGATGGCTGGGATCGAAATTCTCGGAAGCCCGGTTTCATATCAAGTCGCAATACGGAATATTCCCAAAGAAGGGTCCAGAAGAACAATCGGATAATATGCTGGGCTACCTGAATATTCACATGCTTGAGCAGCCTTTAGTGGTGATAGAGGCAAAACCGCCAGAAGAAGATAGGGAAGAGATGACACCCGCTAAACTGGTTAAGATGGAGAATCAAGCAGAACGATATTGTCGTGAATGGCTAAAGCACAACCCGGATGTACCCTTTATATATGCAATTACATTCCGATCGACAAATTTTAGAATGTGGGTCATGGCAAGAAAAAGAGATATGGAAAAGGCGGAGATGGTGGGATTGTGGCAACCGAAGAAACGGACATGGGACGAATATAGGGACCCGGGGTTGGACTGCGATGCCGAGACTATTAAAGTTGCAATTAGTCTGATTAAAGAACACCCGAATGGCTCAGACTATGCACTTACTACAACTAGTGATCCTCAATCGCAAAGTGATCAAGCCCCATCCGCAGTTCCAATTAGAGCAACGAGAGGAAAAAGTGGATCGAGACGTGGAACTCCAAGTGGGGATAGCAAGGGCGAAAGAAATAGAAGCAGAGATAGAAGGAACAACAAGTCAGATGATCAGTTTTCAAGCCAAGAAGAGACTTCTGAGCAGCGAGCAGAAAGGCACAGAAAGAGAGACAGGGAGAGAGAGAGAGCAAAAGAATCAGAAAGATCAGAAGGGAAAAACAAGGAGAAAGAAAGAGGAGAAGGACGTGAAACCTCTATCAAGGCGCGCTCACTACAACCAAGCGCTCCAGTTGACGTACCACGATCATCCTCGAGAGTTCCCAGAAGATCCAATACATCAACCAGTGAGCGTGGAAATCTAGCATCAAGTTCCAGTCCCGAGTATTCTGCACAAACACCAATACCAACACGCGAACGTCGCGAAAGAGGAGATACAGATCGAGCTGAGCGATCTTCTACCAGAGACGGAAAGCGGCCGGAAGGCTCCAGTAATAGCAAGCTTAGCGAGCCGAAAAAACGTGATTTCCAGGCCAGGAGAACAGATTCTCTGAGCACGGTACCGCCGACTTCGTCGAATGATCGGAATACTTCTAGTAGTGATAATCGGGAACCACGACCCAAGAGTACGAAGAAGGTTGGAGATGCGTCGGCTGATGCGAGGAGGAAGTCGAAGCGGGAAAAATCGTCTATTAGTTGATGAATTGGATAGGAGGTAGGTAGCTTTGGAAAGGTATGCATTATCTGGTGTGTGTTTTCATTGCCCTTTCACTTTGTTTTATATTATATGTTTTTGCTTTGTTGATCAACTGTGATTTACCATCCCTCCCAAACTCTGATGGGCCTATAAAATGATAAAATAGAGGGCTATAGGTTCTACTGCAGCAGTGTCGTTTGATTATGGGTTCATCTTGCTATTTCTTGTTATATATGCCACAATAGTTTGAGATACAAAAACCTGCTTTGAGGGCTTCTGTTTTCAACATCATGCTATCTGTTAGAGTCCTATTCCATTTACTTCCATGTTGCGATATTCTTCTCAAACAGTAATATATACATTCACATGAAGCAGAACGGCAAATGACAAATTTGCAACAGCTTGTGCTTCTTCTGCAACCAATGGTATATTTTCAGTCATATCGAGCGCCATGTTCTTTTTCAAGTCAAAATTATTTGTTTCCAAGAAATCTTCGGGAATAATTCTAACCATAACTGTTCCACCTTATTTATTGCAAACAATTATAGCAAGCACATGTACATGATATATATGTAAGAGCTCGAGGAACGCAGTGAACTTTCTTCATCTTGTTGAGTGGAAATTCGACAGCACTCTTCTGATTGACTCTCTAATACAATTCAGTCCATCTAGTGTTCGTATCACTCATACAGAGCCCTGCATAATTTATCAATGGCGTAATATGTGAAGCGATCTCGATTAAAGTTTTGCTACTCTTCGTACTTTTTCAATATGCACATATGTTTCCTCTCTATCATGGATGATCTGTATCTTAATGAAGAGGTGAGAATTTTTTCATACATGTAATGTGTTCATAAAGAAGATCTATATTGAGAGATGGCGATGATGAACTCATAGAATCAAGGAAGGAAGCTTTGATGATAGATGATGAGCTACGGGAAGCGAAAGCGGAAACCGAAAGGTTGAAACGTGGAGAGTGCAGCCACTTGGAAGAGATACCACTGCTTCTTTTAGAAAAAGAGGAAGAGGAGCGCAAGATAGAATCAAGAAGCTTCAAGAAGAGGCAACAGAAGGGGAACAAGCATTCCGACAAGCGAAGCTAGATACAGAGACCCGGCACAGGAAGGAACTTGGGCAGTTGGCTGCTAATCTGGAGGCTGCGACTACCAAGGCACAGCAAGCTTCTACAGAACTGCAAAAGATAAAGCAAGGTTCCGCAAAAACACTGGCAGAGCTTGACGCCAAACTGGCCAAGAATACTGCGGCTTTAATGGGAAAGGAACAAGAGCTGTCAATAGCCACAGAAGCTCTTGCCACAAAGGTGGCTGACTTCGAAAGTACCTCGAAGGCTCTCTCAGAAATACAGCAGAGCCATAGCAACTGTTCCAAGAAGATCAAGTCACTAGAAATCGATTCGCGAGACGCAAAAGCTATCAACAACGCCAGCCGAACAAGCACCCATGCGGAAGCTGATAGAATGAAGAAAGGAATCGCAAAAGCTACCGCGGATCTCGAAGCACATCTCAACGAATCAGAGTGTAATGATCAAGGGTTGGAGAGGAAATGCCGTATGTTTGAAGGCAGATACTCCGAGCAAGTGGTTGCATCTGCAAAAAAGGAAGAGCAACTCATTCGAAGTGTGGTCGAGGAACGGCGCTCCCATGATCGAGTTTTGGAATTGCAGCGAGATCTCGAGAAAGAGGAGAATGAATTTTTCGAATTCGAGTCGGCTTTTCGGGATCTTCAGCATCAGTTTGGTGTTGATCACGAATGATGGGGTAGTGGTAACGTTCGTGGAAGAATGGAGTGGGGGAATGTTGATGCGGGGTTATCACGTGTTTGATTGATTTTAATTACGAATAGGTAATGATGGAGATATGTTAGGTATTCAAGAAGATAATATCATGTAGAGTCATCGGCCTCCTTTTTGAATAAAATGAAGCATTTGAGAACAAAAATTGGTTCTAGATGGAATAGCTACGGTATCACGTGTGTATGCTCATTCCGTGGCTACAGCATTATGAGGCTTGCATTTCATCTCACTGCATCATCAATCGGACCTTCAAATACTCAAGTAAGAATCAATGTGTATCGTGATTGATAATTTCATTCCATCACATTGAATAGTTGATCGGATGATTTTCTTTCTAGTTCACCACATTTCTCTTGTTATTGCTCTTGTAACACCAACCCACGACGGCCTCTTCTTCTTACTTGCGGATTTCTCGGTCAATCAATAAACCAATCGTCTTGGAAGGAATGCGGGGAAACGCGAATCCATTCTATTGCGGGGGAACAGCTAGGAATAGCCAGGAATAGCTCATGAGTGTGAAATGGCAAGGGCCATCAGTCAATCTAAACCCATGATGGAAAGCTAAAATAGCTGATTGGCAAAAGAGAGTTCCATTGAAAGTGTCCTTGAATTCTCATTTTCATACAAAAAGATCAGATCCCAACATATCAGCCTGTTTACATTATAAAGGAAACCATGCAAAGTAGGTAGGTAGACAGGTAGGTAACCATTCCTCCATGTATCCCCAGTTTTAGATACGATTACGCTGCACCTTTCTTCCGTCTCATATATATGATACGATCAATCCAAACAATCAATCCTATCGAGAATATCTACTTCATTCACGCAACGCTCTTTCCATTCATTCGGAAATGGTACCACAAGACGGTAGAATTCATTGTGACAGATGATCTAAACATTCATTCCCCGTTCATGCAATCCTAACATTTACCATATTGCTTCTTCTTGAATTCATCGGCCTTTCTAACCTGCTCCCTTACAAGAACAATTCTTCCTTTCCCTAGAACACATCCTACCAACTTCTCTTCTTTTTCTCTTTCTCTTTCTACGAAAACAATTTGTACAATTACAGATGCGGGTCTAGAAGATGACCTGGCCTTCGACAATGAAGCCGATACTTAGATTGTGTCGTGCCAATAATTACTCAGAAGTACTCTCGCCGAGTCCAAAGACTGGTGGTAGTCTTGGTATGTTTTCATTCCCTGACGTTCGCTCTAGCTCACGATTTCGTATATCAATTACTTGATTAAGACTAATATGTATTTCTCATAGCTACTCACGTACGATCACTCTATCCAACAAACCAGAAAAAGTACAAGAGATATACATCGGCAACTACTTCTTTTACCACATCTGCTGCCCCGAATACCGCATCTCTTTCTACAGCTTCCTCTGCTGCTGTTACGCCGGATCCAATTACCACTCCATACTCGAATTTGACAGTTGGTATAGCTCGCGAGACATATCCAAACGAAAAACGAGTTGCGATTACTCCGCAAAATGCACAATTGTTGATTAAGAAAGGATTCTCCCGAGTTCTTGTTGAGCGAGGTGCTGGAGCCGAAGCTCAATTCACAGATGAGGCATATGAAACGGCGGGAGCTAAAATAGTAAGTAGGAAGAACGTTTGGTCAGAGAGTGATATTCTTTTGAAGGTCCGCGCACCAACTGTGGAGGGACCTAATAATGAAGTGGATTCGCTCAAGCACAACGCAACTCTTATCTCGTTCTTATATCCCGGGGTAAACAAAAATGTCGTGGAGAAATTGGCGCATCGAGAGGTTACCTCTTTCGCGATGGATATGATTCCTAGAATTTCCAGAGCTCAAGTCTTCGACGCTTTGAGGTATGCATCGCTTCCAGATCGCAATTAAGAGACTGAAAGCTCACATACTACCGTGATTAGTTCTATGGCTAATATAGCCGGTTACAAAGCTGTCCTAGAGGCTTCAAATCATTTTGGTCGTTACATGACTGGTCAAGTCACTGCTGCTGGGTAAGTATATGTCAATATGTTGCTAGCGTTGTAGGCTAATTTAGTGACTTTTAGAAAGGTACTTCCTCGAGCATCCGCTTTTAGTTGACGTCATTAATTTATTTAGGTTCCTCCTTGTAAAGTACTTGTTATCGGTGCTGGTGTGGCTGGTTTAAGTGCCATTGCAACAGTAAGCATATGATTCTACTCTGTGACATAGATATTGATGGTCTTCCTAATTAGGCTCGACGCATGGGAGCAATTGTACGTGGATTTGACACCAGATCAGCTGCACGTGAGCAAGTCCAATCATTAGGTGCTGAATTCATCGAGGTAGATTTCAAAGAAGATGGATCTGGCGCCGGCGGTTATGGAAAAGAAATGTCCAAAGAATTCATGGAGGCCGAGAAAAAATTATTCATGGAACAATGTCGTGAAGTTGATATTATCATTACCACTGCATTGATTCCCGGCCGTCCTGCTCCTAAATTGATTCACGAAGATGTAAGCATTCATAGACGTGAAATTGTTGAAAACGATCTGATCAAATCCACAGATGGTTGCGGCAATGAAACCTGGTTCTGTCATTGTTGATTTGGCAGCAGAAGCAGGTGGCAATTGTGATGTCACTGTTCCAGGTCAATTGATTGAACATAAAGGAGTCAAAATTATAGGTTTGTGGCATGATTTGATAAATTCCGAGGCAAAGCTAATTTGGTTACAGGATATACTGATCTTCCTTCTCGACTACCAACTCAATCTTCCACCTTGTACTCCAATAACATTACTAAATTCCTTCTTTCTATTGCCCCTGAAGAGAAGCAATTCGGGATCGACCTCAAGGATGAAGTAGTTCGTGGTTCAATTGTCACTCACAATGGAGAAATCATACCCACTGCACCACGACCAGCTCCGCCAGCTCCAAAAGCTGCCTCAGCCATCGATGCTAACGCTTCAGCTGCTGATACTGTACCCTTGACTCCTTGGCAAAAGCAAACACGTGAAGTCGGAGCTATCACCGGTGGAATGAGTCTCGCACTTCTTCTTGGCAAAGCAACTGGGCCTTTATTTATGAATAATGTCTTTACATTTGCACTGGCTGGATTGATTGGTTACAGAACTATATGGGGAGTTGCTCCTGCTTTGCATTCTCCACTCATGAGTGTAACAAATGCGATCTCAGGTATGGTCGGCGTAGGTGGTTTCTTCATCATGGGAGGTGGTCTTGTTCCACATACTATTCCACAAGCTCTCGGAGCTTTATCTGTAATGCTTGCATTTGTAAATGTTTCTGGCGGATTTTTGATTACAAAAAGAATGCTAGATATGTTCAAGCGTAAGTACTATACTCGTTTCCAATGTTGACTTAGCTGACTCTTTACAGGACCAACTGATCCAAAGGAATACCCATGGTTATATGCTATACCTGCCGTTGTTTTTGGTGCCGGGTATATAGCCGCCGCATCTACTGGTATGGCTGGGCTGGTACAAGCAGGATATATCACTAGCAGTCTTCTGTGCATTGGTAATTCCACTTTTTGCATTTCGTACTGAAACGATTGCTAACTTTACTAGCATCATTATCTGGTCTTGCTTCTCAAACGACGGCACGTCAAGGTAATCTTCTAGGTATTTTGGGTGTCGGAGTAGGTATACTCGCATCTCTTGCCGCAGTTGGATTCCCAGTTGAAGTGCTTGCACAATTTGCTGCTGTTGCTGGTTGTGGAGCTATCATTGGTAAGTAATCGCTGATATTTTTCATGGAGAATATTATTTAACTAACAAATTTTCGTGATAGGATTGAGAATTGGACGACGCACTACAGCAACTGATCTACCTCAAACTGTCGCCGCACTTCACTCTGTGGTAGGCCTTGCTGCTGTTTTAACCAGTTTCGGATCAGTCATGGCAGATATTGGTGATATATCACAACTTCACCTCATAGCTGGATATATGGGTGTCCTCATTGGCAAGTAAAATCACTTTTCATTATGCTCATTTTTTTGCTGATATCTCCTAGGTGGTGTTACGTTCACCGGATCGATAGTAGCTTACCTTAAACTTGCCGGTCGGATGTCTTCCAAACCAATCAGGCTTCCAGGTCCCAAACATTCAGTCAACTCAACTCTGCTTGCTCTTAATATGGCCAACATGGCAGCCTTCATTACTTTTGCACCTGCTGCGCCAGTGATAGCCGCATGCTGTCTTGGTGGTAATGCAGTTCTTAGTTTTATTAAAGGTTACACAACTACCGCTGCTATTGGTGGAGCAGATATGCCTGTCGTTATTACTGTGCTCAACGCATACTCTGGATTTGCAATTGTATCTGAAGGGTTCATGCTCGACATGCCACTATTAACAACAGTTGGCTCCTTGATAGGAGTTAGTGGTTCAATCCTATCTTCTGTCATGTGTGTTGGAATGAATCGATCCATCGGAAACGTTCTCTTTGGAGGAATAGCTCCTAGCACGGAGACTGAGCATAAAATAGAAGGTCAAATCACCAAAACCAATATCGATGAAGTCGTGGAATCCCTCGAAAATGCCGAAAGTGTTATCATCGTTGTTGGATATGGGATGGCTGTTGCAAAAGCTCAATATGCTATCAGCGATATTACTCGAATGCTTAAGAGTAAAGGCATCAATGTCAGATTCGCCATTCATCCCGTCGCAGGTCGCATGCCTGGTCAATGCAATGTTCTTCTTGCAGAAGCTAGCGTACCGTACGATATTGTTCTCGAAATGGATGAAATCAATGATGACTTTGGAGAAACCGATGTAACACTTGTCATTGGGGCAAATGATACTGTTAATCCTATTGCTCTCGAACCAGGCTCTAGTATTGCGGGTATGCCTGTTTTACACGCGTGGAAGAGTAAACAGGTGATTGTTATGAAGAGAGGTATGGCAAGTGGATATGCTGATGTGGTTAATCCGATGTTTTATATGCCGAGTACGAGGATGCTTTTTGGTGATGCTAAGGATAGTTGTGATGGTAAGTTGTTTGATCCTATATTATATACATCTTTTACTGGATGCTAGTGTTTGAGCTCTGCACATGGAGTGGTTGCTAACTTGGGAATTAGCTATTAAAGGTGCACTCGAAGCGAGAAATCGCATGTATGATGTCTGAGTGACTCTAAGCGAAATAGCCGTTAGTCCTCTAACAGTTACTGGCGAAGCTTCTTTCAAAAAACTTCCTTGCTTTGTCCGGTAGATACATCAAACTGGGTATATATTCCCTCAAAACTCGGTTGGAGGGATATGACTAAGTATTAAGGGTTAAGGGAGGTAATTTGTCTATAAGTGAGTTATTTGGGCGTCGAATATGGGTTTTGGGTACAAACAGATGCAGAGTCGGAGGGAAATAAAATAAGAAGAGAAGTAAATGATAAAAAACATTTGGTAGATGCTGATGATGATGATGATGATTATGCTAATACTGATGATGATGATGATGATAATGATGATAATGATATTTGTTGTCTTACCTATTGAGTCTTTTTTCCAATACAGTCATGTTTTGACGAATGTGACGACTGAGTGTATTGGCTGTAGAGTCAGTGAGGAGATACTTTTGGTTAGAGTTTTGAGGGGCTTTCTCGGGATCTCAGAAGGGGTATGGTTATACTCGGGTGATGCTTAGGCTGTTTTACTTTTTGGGAAGGTGATTCCTTTCAATTTTTGAATATTGCTACTACATATATATGATCGATCCATTGATGCAACAAAATTTTATTTATTATCATTCTCTGCCCCATCTTAATAATTTACATAGAATTATACCCCAATCAGATTAATTTATGTGGTGTTGTGTTGTATTGAATGGAGATTAAATGTAGTAGAAGTTCTGGACATGGAATCGATATATCACTAGGTGTAATAATTTTAGAATTGAAATCGAGACTCAGTAATGAGTGACAATATTCCGCATTGAAGTGAAATTTTTCTTATGTTAAAATTTTGTAGACCTTTGAATACCATCTCCAGATCCAATAGTATTTGATAATTACTGGTTGATCACAAATTTATTTCAGCCTACTATGGGAAGCCAGCACCGACCTTCGGAGGGGATCGATCCTACATGTACACATCAGTGGAAGATCAAACATTTGACCCAGAACGCTTCATTGAAGTAAACGGGGTCACATCTCTTTCCTGCATCAGCAAGATGCTGGCATAAAAAAAAGGGAAGGCGGCGCCGCAGGCACTGTTCAAAAAGCACATGCAACAGTGGAGAAGTCGAGAGTTCGCGAATCAACACGCTATTTTTGACTTCGCTGTGCTCGGTGTGCAAAGAACCTATCATCATATGAATTTGATGATAGGCTAAAGAGGTTGAAGTCTATCTCTTCGAAATCGGCCGGTCGGTCAAAGGAGTGATATACAAGAAAAACGGGGCACCTATTTGTGATGCAGTAAAGAGCTTTGACGAAGCCGAGTCCAAGTTTTGAGCAGCACCAGCTGTCCGAGTGCAAATTCTTGGAAGCAGAGAAAACATAATCAGAAAATACACGAATATACGTAAAATTAGCAATAACCTTGACAGATACGCGCTCATTTGATATGGGGAGGGTAAGTTAAAATGACCCACTAGAGTAGACGGAAAACGCACCAGAATAGTATGAGATCCTAACAGCGATCATCAAGACAGTCGTCTTTACCTGTAATACGCATAATTTTTCGGCAGAGAGCTCTTCAGTAAGGTAACTGGTCTTACTTTGTAAAAGATTTGACGACCTCGAAAATCTCCATTGAGTGGTCATTCACTTTGAACTCCAAGGAGATTAGAGAGCGCGTACCCAGCCATGAGGAGATGGCAACCATGAAGAGTGTTCCCCAAGCACAAACAGTTCCGTGCATACAGGACTGGTCTAACTATGCCGTGTCTGAGGTACCACCATTGGTCATAAACCTGATTTAGAGTGAGCAGGACAAAATGAAATAATCATCTCATCGGATGACATGAGCTAGAAAGTGGTTTAAAAGCTCCACCCATACGCGAAGGCGACCAATCGATGGGAAGCATAGAGATAAAACCGAATCGCTTCGAATGGAAATGCTAGGCCGCTTTATCACAGATGATGAGCCCTGCATGAATGGCATAGATGTTGCATTATACCATGAAATCTCACGGTCTCGGAGAAAGAGGTTGATCTAGGTATAGTTAGTGTATCTATCACCTCAACCTGCATGGATCAAATCAACATACGCATACTGAGGGTATACTGGAAGTATATAGGCCCGGATTCAAGAGGGACACATCTCAAGAGTCTGAGACTCAGCCTATCTCCTATTGAATGAACGTTTGTAGGGGCAATCATAAACCTTAAGAGAGAAACAAAGGTCGCTCATGTGCGTGCTCCTGAGAGCTTATGGTGCTTCTTTCATGTATTGCCAAGGGATTAGAACGAACGATCACACGCAAGATCAGTCAAATAGCTCTTTTGAGGGGTATACTAAGCCCTCAACACAAAGATGCCCACTCCAGACGTTCAACTTTAAATCTATTGGCGGGTATAAGATGGCTTTGATAATTAAAAGCAAACAATCTTTGTAACGATTGACATACAAAGATATTCTGACTCTCTACTTGAAACATGTTAATCAAACAAATTCCAAAGCAAGGCTAGTCAAAACAAACCATCCTGTACCATCCAAAAAGTTCGACACCTCCCAATCAAGATTGATCCAAACCCTACCCTTACGTCAGCTCTCAGAACTTTTCCAGGTAACACACAATCAATACTTAAGTGACTGATAATCTTATTCACCAGAAGATTCTTTTCCCAAAAGCACATATTTGAGAAAGGTAAAAAGACGACGAATATTGCACAGTCCAATCACTAGCTAGCGCGTACAGCGCATAGTCTGAACGCAAAAGCATTTTGTAAGACCACAACCATGTACGTGTTACCATCAACACTGTATGGGATGAAGGCCCCTCGCTGATGACGATCCAAGCCGAATAATCCAAAGGTTCGCCAGGCAAAAATTGTTATCCACAGATAGTGAAAAGAATGATCGCCGCAGCAGCACGAGGAGCACGTCTTTAGATCATTTTATGCTTTAATTTGAGCTTTGCAGAAGCTCACCTGAATTCAAAGATAATAAGCTAAGCTGACTCATAATTCTAGATGCGATGGAGCATTTCACGTGAAGAAAGCTATATCACTGATATCGACCATTTCGTTAAAGATAGGTTTGATATTTATTCCTACCTTTTATGTGAGCCATATATAGGGTATAGTCAACCCTCAATTGATGGTAATTTCGTCAATGTGAGCTTAGTTTGATGTAAATTTTATCCATTCATTGAAGGCAGCAAAAGAAAGCTCGCAAAATAGTGATCTGATTGCAGGGACAATTCATTCTACGAGTGTGGGGTGATCCGAAACCAACACGGCTCGGGCCACTCATGTTCTGAAGTCGGTAAGCCGAACCGCAGGTCACTTTGCCCAATGCGGAACTAACAACAAATTCATGTTGATAATCCCCAAAGAGGTTGAGTAGAGAGATTTCTGGTATCTCGAGAACTATATAAAGTAAACTGTTTGTAAAAGCTATGTCGTATAAAGCTTATACTATATCCTTGCATATCTCTATTTCAAACAATCGAATCACTAATCAATCCTTTGCAACCAATTGTTCGGAACATCGATATGACGGACGAAGATTTTTTGACATGGCTACAAAACAGTATAGATTATATGTTTCGCAAGTATGATTTGCTTCAAAGTGCATTGATAACCCCGGGATTCACAGGGGACAAAGTTGGGGACAGGGAAGAGAAGAAGGAGTACGAGGGCAATCGTACCTTAGCTCATATTGGAGACAGTATTGTTCCATTGGTTATACGACACAAACTGCTTCTTATTGATGGAGTGTCCCGTGGTATGTTTTAAACGGCAAATCTTATGATATCTGTTGTCCTAACGTCGAAGCAAGCCGTGGCGAGTGATAAATCGACATCAATCACTAGCAAGAAACACCAGGAGGAAAGGGCAAATCTCCTTGGAATTGCGGCTCACTTGAAATTGAATAAACGTTTGAATGGAAAAGCGAGCTCTAATACACTGCGTCGAGTACTTTGCTCAATAATCGGTGCTGTCTGGCTGGATTGTGGTCAGAACTTTACAATCATAACGAATGTTGTACATCGTCTTCTGTAAGTTGTAAATAACATTCTTGTAAAACTGTGAGAATTTTAATCGATAATTTTAGGATCGACCCGTTGATTTATGATGAAACCACAACAAGAGGTTTCTCTGAAGGTGCAGCAGACATTGTTCCAGGATTTTTTGACGACTGTATATACAGCTATGAAAACCAGAGCACATGTTCAGCAAACGATTCGTTAGAAATGTTAAGATGCGATCCGATCGGCGATCATAATGATTTGCAAATGTTCCGTCAGTATTTCATAAAACATTTCTTTGCTTGAACCTCATGCCGTACGCTGACTCGAATACAGTAGACGATAACTTTCTAGATACAATCTTTAGTCCTGAGGTTACGAACTTTGATCATCAACAGCAGGATGCTTCCACTCCAAAGGAAACAGAACAGGTCACATCTCTGGACACAGCGTATTTGCTTGACCCAACGTTCATCCCCGTTCTTCCCAGTGGCTCAGTCCATAGTCCGAACAGCAGTCAGTCAATGGCTATCTCCGAGGCTGAAAATGCTTCTACGGCACCTATCAGAAGAAGAAAAAGAAAGTCGTGCATGAACAGCGCTAACAGTCGAGTGTCAATATCCGATTATCTCAGTGAATATATGAGAATCGAAAAAGAGCGATGCCATAATTTGGGCTTTTCGTTTACCCATAATGACTTTGATATGGCGATGAAAATAGCTTCTCCGGGTCTGAAGCTAGACGACATCATATTCGATCAACTGAAGATGCTATACTTCGCGATTGGGAGTGGGGAGTCACTGGTATCTCTGAGAAGCCTGCTTGAAATCAGACGCCGCCCGATGGCCAGACAACAGTGCAAGGAAGCGTATTCTTTAACGATAGTAGAAAGGATGAAACAAGTTGAGCATCTTAATACGAAGATTGCTTATAATATTTTCGAGAGGAGGTATCATATTTACCATCTCTATAATGACAGTCGCTCGTTCCATAACAAAACTAGTGATGGGTTTGTTAACACCACGAGCCAAAGTATATTGATAAATAGTGCATCGAGAATGGGTAATCCTCTTAATCTTGATGAAAGCCAGGTCACCAAAAAAATGCTCCATCTGTTGCATCCTGACTTAGATCATGGTTCTACAGAATACCAAAAAAAACTTCGAAGCATCAGCAAAATCAGAAAGCTGGGCGAACGATTCGAAATTTTGGTTAGGAAGTTCGGGTACGGTATAATCGGATTGCTACCATTACCAGTGGACGATCTTACTACTGAGTCAGCGGTTTGTACCAGTGACAGTCTGTAAGTTGCTCTCAGCTTAGGTGTGTTCTGATAGCTGACTACATAGTGTTTCATCCAGCAATGACGCTGTGTTTCTATCATTTGTCCAGTGCCTTGATAAATTAAAAGGCAAGATTCTGAAAGATATCAGCTCTGCTGTTTGCCCGATTGTAACAGTTCTGTTTGAGAGGAAATCAGATCCGTTCTGGACATTTCCTATCGAACAATTTGATACGAAGCAAATCTTGCAATGTTCTAGTGGGTCACAACAGCTTCTAGATTTGGTCTCTGGTCAACAAGACATCAATTATTTTGGAGCAATTAGGGGTGTGGATAGTTTCTTCGCATGCGTAGGTGAGAATAGCTTTGGTGTATGCGAATAAGGATGGATGTTTGACTGCATTGATCATTTGGCACTGGCAGTCTTCACAGTTCCGTAATAGCTTCGTAGAGAACCGATCACAGCAAAAATAAATCGGTAGTTATCATGGAGTCGAATGACTCTGATCGCTCGCTACATCCTGTTCTCTTCACCAGATTCTCGATTTTGTCTGTGAATTGATTTTTGGTGATCCATACATTGAATTGGCTTCATTTTCAGATTCAAACCAGCACTACTTACCCTTACCGGCACATTACAAGTAACGTGGTACCAGTGGCCCTTGTGATTGATGCTGTTGGTAAGCCTGAGATTAAGCTTCTGAAGCACAGCTCGCGATTATTTTTGGTAGCTAATTTCAGACTTGGCATCACCAAAAAATTGATCACTGTAGGCACCGTCTAAAATAAATCTCAAACTTTCTTCGGGAGTTAACGCTGATGTGTGGAAGGTAGTTTGTGCTAAGGTTGTCCGCACTTCCCCACGAGCTGCAAGTCATTTCGTAGAATCCTCGAACTCGGTTTGCAATTCCTCAATCAATACTGGTAGTTGATTTCTTCTTTGTTATAGAAGAATATCACTAAGCCTCCCGCGTAAGTAAACTATCCCTAGTGAAGTTACGAGAAACTCTTTCAAGATACCTTTTTGAAAATTAAGGTAAATACCTCTTCCTCAAGATTGCGGTGCGATAGGAACCAAGATCCATCTCCAGAGCCCACAGTCTTCAGTATGTGCCATCCAAGAGAGAATTTTACGATCCGTCTTTTGCTAGACTAACAAAGTCATTCTCTCTCTCTGTATCCGCGACAAGAGTATCAGATTCTGTAATCACGCCCAAAGTTTGATTATCCTCACGATCGGCAAGGCGTGTAAGCTTGAGTAGAAATTTATTTGTATAGTATTTTTTTTGCAGAAACGACTACGAGGGTGAAGATTCATGGTTTGCTTTGTGCAAGCCTGGACAATGCTTTGTACCGCTTCAATGCGGGAGGCTGACTGTTAATTTGTCTTCGAGTATATCAATTCTGAAAAATCGACTAGTCCCAAGTGACGACGATCAGGACCTTTGAAGGAGATTTTGGACGAAGCTTTACCACTTTGATGAATATTAATTGCTGCTTTCGCATTCTTGATCGGCTCTGCCGGATTATCAAAGTGTTCGAGCTAGTGGTTGATTTCGCTTAAAGATATAACTTACATTTCATTTCGCTAGAAGAGTGATATGGTATAATCTTTATACGAGCGCTAACCTCAGGCGTCTTCCGAAGGTTCAATCCAGCTAGCAATCTTGTACAAAGATTGCTCTTGACAGAAAGAGGCACGCCCAAAAAGCCTTGAGGACCGAGCTTTTTTAATGTGATTGGTCACGGGGCGCAATGATTAGTGATAAGGGCTCATATAAAAATCTTTTAGTTGTAGTGAAGCCGAGATAATCTCTTGTGATTATCTATCACAGCCGGGTCAAAGTCTCGGTTTACTTGTGTATCAAAATTCTCTACTGTATTAGTGAATATGTGTATAAGAGGTTGCGAGCGGTTCGAATATACATGGCAATCTTCGGTAATTAGTGATTTGTTAGGGTATAATCCCGCAAAGGCAAGCAAATAAATATGTTTGCAATAGGAAAAAAATTGAGCCTGTACGCAATCCCAATCAGATTCTAAATGTTTACGTATAAGAGATTCTCACTCATAAATAGTATGTTGATATACAAGAGGAACCTTACTTATAATGGGCAAGTATTTTGCTTTTGAACTTTGATATGAATATAGTATTAGGTTATTTAACTTTTGAACAAAATGCAGATTATTCACTGGAATTACAAAGAAACCTTCAATTAAGGAAGAGGCAACAGATAAAATGTGATTCACTTGAGGTTACAGGTTCAAATTATGATGAGAACAAAGGAAATGAATGTACTGAGGCATATTTCCGATTTTATTTCATTCTCTTTGTGTACCCTCACAATGTTACACTGTACTTGAATCTTCCGGCTTGTGGGTTTCAGTTTCATTGCAATCTAGCTTTTTCTAGGGAGTGATCTAGCAATGAGAGAGTAAATAGTAATCAGCAAGGAAATTTCGATGCAAAGCACCGCCCTTCCATCAGGGAACCCCAATGCTGAGCTGTAAACTCTGAAAAGATGACCACATGTATGACTATCTAGTTCTCTCATACCTAAGTATTTGTACGAATTATTTCCATTGCGGGGGAAATTCTGCTTAAATATGACAAGATATCGTGGCGAAATCAGGATACGACTTTTGATCCTCTGCTTCGTGACATATTTTACCTCATAGCATATCAAATGTTATTCCTTTCTCCGATGACTTGAAATAGGATTCTGAAGTAGCATCATCATCTTTTCTGATCGAAAACAGGATTTCACACCATCTCTCAACATTCGCGGATAACCTGATTTTGTTCTGTCCAAAGTCTTTTCTCGCCTCTTTGATGATTGTGGATATTCTCACAGTAATTTGATAAGCTCGGAAAGTTCCCCTATACTTCAGAGCTAATAAAGCAAGATTGTTAAACCACGAGTGACTCAGATCGATTTATGATTTCCGACAGAAACCAATAGGCCTCAAGATATGCAAGCTTACTGACTACCCAGCTAATACGTTTTCGTTAAGGAGGAATGTAAAATTCTCAAGCAACATACGTGGATCTAAAACTTTGATTTAGCTTTTTACTTATCAGGAATGAGCTAAGAGCATCGGAGGAAGTCATCACTCTTTTAGTATACCATAGCAATGCACAAGGGACAGTCACATGAAACTCGATATTCTTGCTTGTTCTACTCAAACACAAGGCCTCTTTTGATACAGAGAAGTGACAGAGTCCTTGAGGATTTGAATCTACCCGGTATTAGAAGTTGCATACGTACCATTGCACCTATCAACTTCGTGAGCACATGGAGCTGGAACCATTCTGTGATTGTAGGATTTGCACAAGGTTACATAATATGTAGAAGGGCGACTCACTCATAAAATGTGTGACTTTCCTCGTGATATGACGAGGATTATGGTATATTCCACTGCTAGCTCTGATAAAACTCGTACCTACCGTCCAATAAAGTCAAAATTTGCATCGTCAGCTCCGCCCAGGGCAGAACCCGTTTCGAAAAATCCCATTCTTCAAGTTGTAGATACAGCAAAACCCAACATGTATCGACGCCTTTAATATGTTTTCACGGAGTTCATAAGGCAAAAGACTCGACCGATATACATTCTTCTGACATTGTCAAATCTCCAGGTATCTCAAGATCTCTTACTTGGATGTTCAAAAGTATGTGCTTCTATGATTCAGACTCTATAGACACCAGTAGATCAAGAAGTGACTTATTCAATTCTTGAAATCTTGGATGGAATTCGAGCTAACTCATTCATTTAACTTTTTGCATCCAAGATCTGATGATCTGATATCTTCCCATCCAACGCCTAACTTTTTGACGAGAGAAAGAGAGTTCATCGTATTTGGAAAAAGACATCATAGTATCAGTATGCCGAAAGTTTGTACAATTCATGAAAACTTGTTGATGTCATGGACATACCAAATCCTGATGCTTTTGACGCGCTATTTCATTCGATTATGCTGTAGACAAAGTGAGTAGTAGCCGAAACTCAACGAGAATTGTGGTATAAGAAGTGTCATAGACGGCGAGAAATATCACAGTGATATACCACATCAAAACTATATTTGTTTCATAAAATCAGATTTCTCTCCCAATCTTTCTCCACACAGCACCTTCCGACAAATATGTGCCTCAAGACTTTCGTGAAAGATAACTTGGATTACGAATTCAAGGAAGACCAATTGCTCACAGAAGCACTTATAACGAGTGGAGTTGTTTCGGGAGCAGATTCGATTGTCGAGCAGCAGGGCAATAGAAGACTCGCCCTGATTGGAGATGCCCTGATACGTCTTGAACTGGTGCACACCAAATATTTAGAGGGCGCCAAACTCGGTAAGAACTAGATTCGCGAATGTGAGCGATGGCTGACCATATATCAGCAACATCTCAAAGATGCGTTTCGAAGAACGCTTCGAATCACAACCTTGGAGTCATCGGTCAGCGAAACGGCTTGGTGGACCAAATGGTTCTCCCAGCTTGTCAGCCAAAGCCAAGCGAATATACTGTTGCAACAACAGTCGAGGCTTTGATCGGAGCTATCTGGTTAGACTCGGAGAGGGATTTTGACTTGATTGGCCGTGCTATCAGAGCATTACACATTGAGTAAGCATAGCGGTCGACATTGATTCGAGATGACAATGTACTCAGGTGTACTGCGTACCATAACACACATTTCCAATACTTTCTTTATGATATCAAATAGATCTTCATAAGCTATCATGTATTCTTAATTCAGAATCAACTTCATCAATGCTTCTGGCGAGAGTTGAAATCCTCCGAGTGACAACTCCACAAATCTAAGATCCTTCACAATTTCTGAATAACTACCCTTTATCCATAATAATCTTTGAATCTGGGATCTCTGTGCGTTGCAGTATTGAGCAGAGAGAAATAGGCATTTTCTGTGTTTCTTTCTTCCACTAGTTGCTGACCAAGCTCTCATTCTGTGCGTATATGTAAGCATTCTCCGGCAGAAGAAGTGAGATGGTGAGATGAATTGAAGGCTTTCATGTTGATTGTACTTTATTTGGGGGTTTTTTTGGCTTGGAGGGGATGGGAATGTATTAGGCAAGATAGATAGAATAGGCGTGGAAAATTTAGAGGTAGATTGTATCGCGGAGTCCATAACAACAGCCAAGAAGGCAGTCCTTCTGCTGGAGGGGGCAAATATGAGGTACTGGGACTAAAAGAGGAGACGCTGCGAGGGTTTTGAAGCATTTGAAAGGGGTAAATTCTCGTATGGTAGGGGAGCGAGTGAGAGAGGTTGCCCGGAGATTGATTGGGAGATGGATGAGTTTACTCGAGTCTATCAACCTCAATGTGTCATTCAAGATATGCTCCTTATCAGCCCGAGATCACAACACCCAAAAGATTCACATCACCCAAGAAAGAATCCCACAGTTCTCCAATCCTCAATATCCAATAAATCAGCCCTTCCCTCCTCCCCCCTCAACAATTTTCCGCTTCTAACAATAATACAAATGCGTATGCTTTTCCTCATTCTCCTCTCCCAGACAGAGAAAGCTCTTCACTAGAAGCCATTTCCTTCCATCATTCAATCCTCCCATCATTTTCCCTCTCCAACTTCTCAGCATTCGACCCACTCAGGACTATCAGCTACAACCTATTCAGTATTGTATCCACGATCCATAATCCACCAGGCCATTACGGTATAAGGTGAAAGATCAAGATTTTATAGGATGGTTGTACACATACACAGTCACCTACTTACTCCATCTATTGTGTTCCAGATTTTCGCTATGAATCATTCACCCACTCACCATACATATCCCTCATTTTTCCATCTCCTCAGGTACCCTCTATTCTTTTCATCTCGTTCCTTCATTATTAATAGTATCACCAAATCCCAAATCTCATCTTATCTCAAGAATACACATTACAAACTTAACACACAATAAATCAGTCAAATATAAAACTGTAAGAGAACGCACACGGAAGGAATATTTATGTCTGTTCCAGATCCCTTGTCTAAAGGACGCTCATCCCTGCAAGCCTCAGGTAGGTACCTATCTATCCCTCGAATCTCAAGTTCAAGGTATCCATTGTTCTGTCCTTCCATCCTTTGAATGCTATGCTATGCTCTATTCTACCCTACCCTGCCATAGCCTACCCGATACCCGACCTTCCAATTAACAATGAATAGCATAATCTGCAAAGTGATCCATCAATCCTGTTATCACACCCAGCAAATCCATCCTATTCCGCGTGGAAAATATACCCCCACGAAAAAAAACCTATATAATCCATCCGCTAGTCCATCGTGCATGTCATATTATATCATGACTATGCTAGCCAGCTAGACCCTCATTGAGCTATACCCGTCCATCCAGCCATCCTGTTACTTAGTATCCTCCATACAAATGAGATGAAAAGAAGTCCTTCCCAAGAAGCAAGCAACGCACGCTATGCAATAAAAAAAACAATAATCCCATCGCAATGCAAGAAGATGTAGACTTCTCAACTTATAGATCTAACCTTGAAGTTTTTCTAAACAACCTCTTAGTACCTCCAACCTTATCCATCTCGCCCAGACTTTGTCTATGACCGCCCTTACGTCTCTCTTTCTCCTTCTCCGTACTTGCCAGCATGACTTTCTCCTTCATACCTTCAACCCATTCAAGATCTTTCTGATCCAATTCCTTTTGTTTACCTCTTGGTCCAGCAAGACCTAATGAAGTATCGTCTTCATTCCAATCCAATCTTGATGAACTTCTAGACACTGCTGATTGAGGGGTCTGATTGGTATCTGCTTCACGTTGAACTTCAGCAAATGGTGTAGCTGGAAGAGGAGGCACCGCATCAGAAGAAGAGAATGTAGATTTTCTCGTTTTGCGAACACCAAGAGATGATTTGGGTCGATCAACGGCAGTTGATGGACGAACACTCATCGCAGATGCAGAACGTGGACCGGGTGTGTTACGACCAGGTCCAGGCGTGGTACGTCCATTATCACGAACAGTAGAACCACCAGATGGAATACGTGATGGTAAATCTTGAACCTCAACTTTATCGGTATCAACTGGCGCTCTTCGTCCATGATGACTTGCGTATTCTTTGAGATATTCTCCAAGATCTGCCCAACCACCTCCAACACGTACCATGACTCTCTCACCATTTTCACCCACTAAGCGAACAAAAAGCTTAATTGGCTTTTCACCACTTGACCTAGATAAATGATAAACTTTAATCTCTGGATTACCGTTCTGAGGTCTGTGACGCGGAGTGCCACTCTTTGCATACGCAGGAGCGAGGGTAAATGATGGAGTTGGGGCACGTAAGCTGCCAATTGAAGATTGCGAACGAACTGCAGGCATTGAGGGAGTAACCGAGCGACGAGTCTTCCGAGGACGAATTCCTTTAGTATCTGACTTTTCTTCTGGTTCGGAGCGAAGCCGAATATGTGCTGGAATTGATTGAAGTAAAGAACTAATTTGTTGTTGCATTTGGTCATCGCTGTTGTTGCTGACGGGCGAGGCAGGGATAGATTCGAGAGCATTGCCACTAGGAAAAAAAGAAGAATCGGGTGTGGAGATTAGGTGGGAGAAATCGGGACTTTCGAGAAGTTGAGGAGGGCGACGTAGAGCTTTGGTTGGAGCTCCTGGTGGAGAACCAGGTGGAGTGTTGTCATATTTCTGAAGATCATGTGACCATTTTCGTGGAAGGGGAGAATCTTCAAATGTTACTGTAGATGCTCCATCAGAGTCATGATCGACAGGACTTGGACTAGCCTCTGGAGTCATTTTAGATTCGCAACGGTCCGAGAGTGAATCATCTGAAGCATCGACAATTATGGAAGGTCTGCGTGCTCCCATCTGTGCATCTAAAATGTCGAATTCCATCCCGTCAGGACTGAGCCTTTGAGCACTTTCTGAAGCACCATCACTGCTCGCTATTGTAGGATTTTGAGACGCGCTAGATAAAAATGCTGGTGCCTTTACATTCTGGCCTTTCACATGACCAATTTGTGCCGATTCGAGGGATGTAGAAGAAATGCCCAGCTGTTTCGCTAAAGCAATGCTAGAAGCTGGCGCATTCAAGAGGGAATTCTTCTTGGGAGAAGTAATTGAATCCTTGGAAGAGAATAATCCCCGTTCCATTCCGATGATATGTGGTGAGCTCGAACTACGCAATCTTGGCAGTCTAGATTCTGTAGGGGACTTCATCGTTGGACTGGGAAATGTATCAATAATCGCCGATGATGGTCGTATAGAAATTCTTGGAGCTGTAACGTGTAGATCATGACTCGAGGCTTGTGGTGATTCGTCATTCGAAATGGTACGTCTCAATGCATTTGCGAAAGTATGTCCGCATTTGGGAACTTTGGTGAAGCTCCTGACGCTAGACGAACGAGTTAATGGGGTGCGTGAAAGCGCACTGATGCCAACTTGTTGTAAGTGATGAGAATCTAATAATGGAGAGGGTGTTTGAGGAGGAGATGGGCTTTTCGAAATTGAAGTTTGCGTAGCTTCGCGATCTGGAACTTGAGCAGCGCATGGATTTGGTGTTTTCGCTGGTGTTGACAACAATCCATGGGAGATCCCAATAGACTCCGTTTGAAGGGGAGTCGTGGGCTCCACTTCGTGACTATTCACGTTCCCTCCCATTGGGTCATTTTCAGTCGCAGATGTTGATAGAGCTCTAGCATCTTCTGCCCGCGCCGCATCAATTGCGGCCTGTTTAGTCGCAATTGCGGCCAATTCTCCATCTGTAATTTTACGATCTGCTGAAACGACCCATTCGCCATAATCCCGTTCGAGGTTTTCCATCCTGTCTAACCAGCTATCGGGTAAGGTATCCATCCTGCCTTCTAAAGTATCTAGCATGTAATCTAGATCTCTTCCAAGAATCGTAACTTTGGCCTGTAAAACATTTTTCATGACTTCGAAAGTTTGGCGAGAAAGAACCATATCTCCCATTCCATCAGAACCAGTAGCATTTGTCCCTGCCATCTTTATAGCCTGCCATCCCGAAAGTAACGCCATCTCCGCATCATCCAACCCCAGTAACAAAGGCGGCACTCTTCGAAGTACAGATAGACGAATACCCCATATATCCAATAAACGCGTCAATTTGGCCAAATTCGGTAATGCCTGCAATACCGTGGCTGTCACTAAAGCTGTGAAATCATCCATCATCGTATACGAGGCAAGGAAAGCCGGCATGGCAATAGTAGAAGAGGAAGGCCGAGAATTCGCAGAGAAGTGTGTATCTAAGACCCGTCGTTTGATTTCTTCCACCTTCAAATCATCCATACCTTCTCCAATTTCTTCTATCCGATACTCATATCGTACAACCTGGTCGAATAAAAGACTCCCACAATATTGCGGCTCTGTATCTTCTTCATTCTGTTGTTCCGTTTCATCATCCGACTTTGGTAGTGACACTTTTATTTTCCTCGAAGAGACAGGAGCTTCGAATCCTGCTGATCCCCCAGTTGTGGGCCATGGCCAATCTGATAATTCATCCAACCATTCTTGTACCTTCTTGGATGCTAACGTTGCTCGTATGCCAAATGCTCGATCCGCAGGAGAAGCAGCTTCTATGCTCGTCTTCAGTTTTCCTGTGGGTGTAGTGAAAGCTTGCAGGGTTGTGGTGGGAGTGAGGTCGGATAGGAGGTCATCGGCAATATGTGATCGACTGGAAGATCTATTTGGGGATCTTGTTCTCGAGGCAGATCTTGGGTGTAGCATTGGAGGAGCAAGCCTCGAGGTAGAAGGAGTCACAACTGCGGTACTCTCCATGTTTGATTATGTTTTTCTGATTAGAGGAGGATTAATTTAATGAGGAAATCGCAGGCGCATTGCTCACAAGAGACCTTAAAAGAGTGATGGTCTACAAGCATAAGCAAGGTTGAAACATAATAGTTTTGGGGATAAAGAGAAGGTGAAAGGTAATGCAAGCTGTTTCGAGTGACGCCCTGTTACAGGCTTCGTAGTTCGTCGTTCAAGGCGGTTGCTTGCATGATTTTGTTTAGGGTGGGTCGTTGTACACAAGTTGTCTTGAACACCGCACCTTGCAGAAGGGACTAGACGAGACGATGTTCTTAATTCTGTGATCTCGTTCTTTCTTTGGGTGGGTGTGGAGAATTCTTGGATCTTGTATCTTGGAAGTTTTGAGTTTTTGCTTTTGCTTTTGCTTTTGCTTTTTCTTCTTCTTCTTCTTCTTCTTCTTCTTCTTCTTCTTTTTCCCCCTTTCAATTGTTCTCTGTGAACGAATGGAGATGAATGGAGATGAATAGAGATGGAGCTCTCGGAAAGCGGATCGATTCAAGGAATACGATAAAGAGTGTAACGAGTATAATAGATTGGTGGTGAGAGCATAGGGAATGATTGATAGGTAGGAGGTAGGTTGAGTTTAATGTAGGAGCAAGGAATAAAGAGGAGACAATGGAGACGAATGGAATAAAATAAAAAAGAGGATAGATAGTTATTAGCAAATAGTAAATAGGGAATACACAAGTTGATAGGAAAAAGAAATGATAGTAGTAGTAGAAGAGTGATCGTATTGTATGTGTTTGAGAGAGATTGGCTCAAGATTGAGTAAAATCTGTAAAATTGGTAAATTGGTAAATTGGTAAAATCTGTAAAATTGATAAAATTATAAAATTATACAATTATGAAATTGATACTTTGACGCTACTACTGACGCTAATATTGACGCTAATTAATACCCAAGTACTAATATCCAATTTAATCTGGATATGGTCGATCCGATTTTCATGGGACCTTTTTTTTTTTTGGTTTGTTTTTTGTGAGGTTTAAGTGTGGAATAAAAGATGGTTGATTAGAATGATGCTAAGGGCCAAGATATTAGCACTGGCTTAGCTAATCTGAGCTAGATTAATTTAGTATATATATATAATTAAAAGTATAACAAATATTGTAATTGAAAAGATACTTTGCTTTAAAGCAAAATATATCTAGTTTTGATTTTCATTTTCAAGTATATATGAATCTATTTATTGAAAATTTTAATTAATTTTGTTGAAATTCTTTTATTTAATACTTATTGATTCTACTTTACTTTTCTTTTTAAATATCAAATCAAATATTTGTTTATTTCTTTTTCTCCTTTTTTATATAAAACTTGTTTTTGTAGAATTCTTTTCAAAATCAATTCAGGATTTTATAGAATCTTTTGTACAAAAGAGTAATAAAAGAAATCTTGTATAGGATTTAGCATAGGTTTAAGATATATAATATTAATAATTGAATGTATCTTTATAGATTTAGATAACTCGATTCGATAAGTTAAATATCCAATCTTTTTTAGGACTTTGAATAAATCTGTGAATTGCTATTCGATTTTTGTATTTCTGTTTACAATATTAGGTATATTATATTCTCGATATAATTATAAAGAAATATAATCCCTAATTTTAAAGAATATAGATTTATATTATTAATTGAAATAATATTTTATAAATATAACTATAAACTTAATTATATTGATTATTTCAATTATTATAGATTTATATTTAGTATTATTTATAAACTTTATTAGGTATATTTTAATTATTTGTTTTATTATAGGTTTGGATCTAGTTCTTTAGGGTGATATCTTTGTTAACTCTATAATTGCTTTTATTGTAATATTGAATAACTCTTTAATTCTAAATCCATATATTATTATAGTAATAATAACATTTGTATCTTAAAATATAGAATTTGATAAAACTATAGATAAATATGGTAACACTATTAACTATTATGAATTATTATTTAAAATATTAAAATAATATCAAAAAACAATCTCTATTATTTAATTAGTATATTTATTACTTTTATTTGTTTATAAATGCTAAACTATATTAAATAACAATTTAATATTTAATAAATTCATAATCCCTTTCTATACCTCAAAAACAAACTTTTTATTTTAATTGAAAATAATTGTATAAGATACTCTCTATAATATTAAAAGTAAATATTGAATTAGGGAATTTCCTTATTAAATTATAATTCAAATATTTCTTTTAAGAATCAAAGTGATTGTTTTGAAAAGCTTATCTATAATTAATAAAGTACAGTCAAATAAATCCAATATTGATCTAAATAAAACTAAAATGAAATCAATAGATATTATATAAAAGATATATAAAGAAATTAGAATAGATTATAGTAATCTATAAGGCTAATATCAGAAAATTAATAACACTCTATATTAATAGTAATAATAAAAGAAAAATCAAAGCTTTTTAAATATATTAAAAATATAAAAACTAGAAGAAATCTTTTTGTAAATATAATTATAATTTGAATATCCTAATTGATTATATATATAATTGAATATTTCGTTTTCTAAAGATACAAGCATTATTAGTCTTTTTATGAATATATTATATCAGATTTTGCATATAAAATATCTTATTTCATTTTGAAAGGCAGTTTTGCAGTATTAACTCCTAATTTCTCATTTTTCTTGATTTATTTAATCAATTTGGTGTATCATGGATTTAATATATATACCTACTTAAGTTTCTATAATCAAATCTTTTCAATTTATAGAATTACTATAGAATAGATTATAATTTCTAATATCCTATAATTATAATTTTGTTCTATCTAGATTGATTTCTGCTTATTTGTTTTCTTTTTAATAATATAAAATTGCAATAAGGTATTTAGCATAATATTGAAATGTTTAAGCTTATATTATATCTCGAGATAGAATCGGGAAAGATATTCGGAATTTTGCAGATAACAAGGATTCAATCGAATTAAGGAAGATATGTTTATAGAAGTTTGAGTGGCAATTTGAATACTTGCAGAATGATTTGTATATATTATTATCGGAAATTTTGATAATTTGATTAAATACTGAATTCTTGAAATTATTTAGTATAAACCTACAATCTCTAATTTAATTGGCTAATAATTGGATTCGATGGATGTGATAAATTAAAAAAGAAATATGATTAGTATAATAAACTTCTGAGTTAACGGATTGACTATAGAATAATAGATTATACTATCAACTTTTTTTTTGGATATATTTGTATTAATATATAATCTTTTCTTAGAATTGAAATAATATAAGATTGAAGATTTCTTAAAGACAAATTGCAATTTGTTAAATAAATCCCTTTTTTTAGTAATAATATTTTTGAATTTCAAAATTACCATTGAGTTTTTTCTTTTGGTTTTTGTAATAGTATTTTTATTATAAATATACAATAAATGATTCAGTTTACTTTTTCTTTTTTGTAATACTATTAATAATTTTGTATAATATGGAATGTATTATTATAGATAATTAATAAGATTGAGGTAGTATTCAAATTATTTCAAAAATCGAGGGAAAATTAAAGTTTAAATAATGGAGAGTTTATTTTCTATTGATACAAGACTAAATATATCTATCCTTTAATTAAGTAATATAATAAAAGGATAGGCTAAAAAGCATTTCTTAAAATTCAAAATAATATTTATATTTTTTAGTTGTAAAAAAACTTATTGAAAATGTTTTAAATAATCCTCAAATATATAGTTAAAAATAACAATATTATTAATATAAGCTTTCACAAACTCTCTTTCCAATTTAAGAATAGTATTAATACATTTCTGAATATAAACTAATGAATTTCTAAACCCTATTATTATATAAGTAAATATTTCTTAATTGTAATAAAATAATATAGTAAGGTATTTCTAATAATCCTTTTTGATATACTATTAATAAAAAAAGCTAGTATAATTAATAATGGATATAAAAGAATATTTAGTTATAGTTATAATAATATCGGTCTATGTAGAGATTGAATATATATTAGGAATAACAATCTAATTTAATATATAAATATCTATAACAACCCTATCTTTTCTTGATATAACTCCTTTTTTATTGATTACCTTCTTTTATATATAAAATACTAGAAAACTAAAAGGAATTGGTTTTATTATTTATTTGAAGCGATTTTGTTTATAAAGTTTATTATAAGTTTTGTTTATAAGAATCTAATCTTTTTGATTTATAAAATAAACCTTTACCTTATTTGATCTGAATTTCTCTTTCCAGTTTTCGTATAAATCGATCTCTATCTCTTTATTCTTTAATATATTTACAAAATCTTTTCAATTTTCTTAAATTATATAATTGTTTATTACTAGATCCTTTAATTATTGTTTTTGTATTTTATTTCTATAAATTGTAATTCTATTTAATAGAATAACCTTTTGTTTAATAAATTCTAAATCAATTATATTTATATAGTTTAGAATATTATTTATACTATTAATTGTTTACAAGACTATAATTGTTACAATTGTAAGCAATCCCTTAGCTAAAAAGCGTTTTTTGGATTCAAATATAATAGCTAGTATTTGAGCAAAATGATAAATATCAATCTCATCTATAATTATTATCGCTTAAGCATCAAATTCTACAATATTCTCGAGTTTTAGATTTTTGTAAACTATTATTTTTTTGTCTATAAGGTTTTCAATTATAATAGAATTGAATTTATTAGATACTAAATATAAAAAGAATATGAAATTCCTTTGTTGTAAAGATTTATAAATTATATTATAAATTGGAAAAGACAATTCATTACCCTTTTTGCTTATAATTAATACAAATACTTAAGAGTGAAATGGAATAATAACTTTGTTTATAATATAAACTAGGATTTTTCTTTCAGCCTTCTTCAATTGTATTACAATCTTAATTTACAAACCTATACATTAAGATAAAGTTAAGATTCCGTTATCTAAATCAATAATTTATTCTTTTAGAATAATAA